TTCGCGTAGGTATAATAAAAACGCGCATTCGCGTTTTCATTGAGGAAGGAAGGAATCATCAAGGAAGCCCGAATAAGGAGCTTTTACTGTACTCACCACCATCTCCACTGCTGCCACTCTTTACTGGTAATACCCAAGTAATTTTGTTATTAGTATCGACGGGCCAACGAGAATGTGACACCGTTGTGGTGTTGTATCCACCCATAAATTTTCTAACTAACTCTCATTGCGATTACAATATTGAATATTGTTAGTAGGACATGGTTGTTGCTGCCCCGCGGATTTAGTTCTACCATAATCGTTTCGCAGAGTAGAACTTCCGAGTCGGTATGTAAAAAGTGTCCCAGGGTTGGTGTATAGCTTATGATATTCATGGATTTTGCTGACAGATTAACGTGAAGTTAACCATGGATTTCGCATGGCCATTTAGAATTTAAAAAATTATTGCAATCTTAGCCCAGAAGCCATGTTGGGGGGTTGCCATAATCGCCACGCTTGGCATGCGGGTTGGCGATCGCAGTATGCCGTTATGATACTCCGAGAACGCTGCTGCCCATTTTTTGGTTAATCCCTTAGTCACCTCTTACGACACCCACGGGAGGAAAAGAGGAGGTGTTATTCTTTTTGGGGCCGACACCACACGGTCCAGAAGTAAATAATACTAAATATTACTTACTGTGCATAACACTTAATTCAGAAGAAGTTCGTTTTTGCGCATGGTGACTATGGAATACCTAGACTATATAAATATATGTAATTGTAATGAGCAGTTACCAGTACACATCGATTTAAACAATACTAATGTCCAGCCATATTGTGTTGCTGGCGTGAGTGTGTTATAGCCATAATATTCCAACAGCTCCTGAGCTTTGTATCTAGTTAATCCTTTGACAGGGTCCGTACCCAATTGATCGAATAAAGTATCTGTAAACGTTAAAATTACCCTAGATATCCTAAAAAAATTCAATTCTTCGCTCTCTTACACACAATGAATCCCATCAATTGGCGCATGGCCTCGTGATACTTATGGTCACTAAATATCATAGAAATTGAGAATGCTGTTATTTACCTAGGTAGCTTGAGTGAAAACACAACTGCTAGACAATATTTGGTTACTTATCTATGTATATAATATCCCATGTTTGACCATAAGTGTAAAACTTAATAAAACTTCTCACCCAAGGGTACAAGATGTGTGTCAGTTTTAATTTCTTTTTTGAGAACATTCAATCGTGTGCTACTCAAATCTTTGGACCGCAGTCGCTTATTTTTTTCTGGTCGAAAAAGATCTGTAATAGAAGCTATACTAGAACTCCTGGAAGTCATTTTTGATGATTGAGATTTCAGTAGATATTTTGAATATTTGGTGACGTAATATTAAAGTCGCGTAGGCCTCTTTTGAGTTCCAGAGTCAAATTAAATATTAATAGCGTGTTTTGTGCATGCTTCAATGTTTTCTCAATGATTCAGTTTTGTTTTTGTAAGAATAGAGACAAACTCTAAATAAGAACTTGTAGGTATTTGCTAAACATATTAGGACTTAAACGTGTCAAAGAACAAGAAAGCGACCCCGTTTCTACGCAGGGAGTGCAAGGCTGTCGGTCATTAAATAACAAAATGTATAGCTGAGAAACAGCAATATTTTCCCCCAATAGTGGTCTAAATAATAATAATTGTCTCTGATGGTCTTAACGATCGATTGTATCGAGCGAACCGAGATGTGATTAAGTCCAAAATATTTTTCTAATTTTTTTAGATAGGTAATCTAATAAATGTATAAAATAAATATACTAAACTCGTATTCACGACCTTTTTTTTATAGCATAGACCACTTTTAGACATAATTATATAAACTCATTCATAAACTATAAAATTTTAAAGCGTTAATTAAAAATTCGAAAATTAAACATGAGATCGAAATCTTAATTGTATTGTGTACAATACAACAACAAAATGTATTGTATACAATTGAGATTGTCCCAACTATGTATTTTAACCGGAACGCATGACTACTTCACGGCAGAAACAGGCCGGGTGAAAATGAGAGCAAATAATACACCCAACGACACAAATGATAATTTTTGGCACTTTAATTTTTATACCTCCGAGCGTCGTCCTTAGTGCTAAGGGTCGTGACCTTTACGGAGCACTTTTGTTAGGACTACGTTCCTCCATTCCTTCCTGTACTCCGCGCAGTGGATTGCGACATTGGTGCTGGAGTCCAAAGTCGTCTTCATCTGATTGGACCAGCGCATCGGACTACGCCCCCTAGGCCTCTTCCCTTCCACTTTGCCGGTGATGAGTAGTCTTTCGAGATTATAACCCTTTTTCCTCGCAACGTGACCGAAAAACTCGAAAATCCTACGTAGTCAAGTGGTGGAGAGTTGTAGAGACGCCTAGTCCTTCCAGATTGATGTGTTTGTCCGATGCGCCGTCCATGGAATCCGCAGCATTTTCCTCCAGCACCACATCTCAAACGCGTCGACCCGACTTCAATCGACTTCTTTAGAGTCCATGTCTCCACCCCCTATAAGAAGTTAGAAAACACAAGACTTGTTCGATCCGGTAGTAGATTCATTCGCGAAGCAGCTGCTCTTGAGTTGTTAGGTCTTCCTTGGAGGCGTTCGGGTAGCTGTTAGCAAATCTCGCCCCTTCTGGCTGAACCCTTGCTCGCCCACCTGTCCTTATGTAACTGGAAAGGCCTCCGAGCCACCAGTAAACATAAAAATCGTAAAAAAAAAAACAAGACTTGTTACAAGTTTACGCTTGGTTTTTATGGAGATTTTTCTATCGGGCCAAATGCTATAAAGCTGAGACATGGCAATTTTTGCTATGCCGATACGTCTTCGTTTCTCAGGCTCGCACGATCCAGTATTCGATTCGATTCCAGTAATCAATGGAGCCCAGGTATGTGCATCTTTCCGTTGTTTCANTGAGTTGTTAGGTCTTCCTTGGAGGCGTTCGGGTAGCTGTTAGCAAATCTCGCCCCTTCTGGCTGAACCCTTGCTCGCCCACCTGTCCTTATGTAACTGGAAAGGCCTCCGAGCCACCAGTAAACATAAAAATCGTAAAAAAAAAACAAGACTTGTTACAAGTTTACGCTTGGTTTTTATGGAGATTTTTCTATCGGGCCAAATGCTATCAAGCTGAGACATGGCAATTTTTGCTATCCCGATACGTCTTCGTTTCTCAGGCTCGCACGATCCAGTATTCGATTCGATTCCAGTAATCAATGGAGCCCAGGTATGTGAATCTTTCCGTTGTTTCAAGATGTTTTTTTTCCCATCTTATCCCACTAGGTGGGGTCGGCACAGCTAATTTTTCTCTTCCATTCTCTACTATCAGCCGTCATCTCAACACTCATTCCTCTCTCTCTCTCATATCGTCATTCACACACTCCATCCATGTCTTCTTCGGTCGACCTCTTCCCTCTACCTTGCACTACCATTTCCATACATCTCCTAGTCACATGCATCTTCTCTCTACGCATCACATGTCCATACCACGCTAACCGTCCGCTCCTTGATTTGTTATTTACCGGGGCCACTTTCACACTTCCTCTGATATACTCTATTACCATCACTTTTGTTTTGGATCGGTTAACGGCAAGTCCAAGTTCAAGACTAATTTTTTCAAGCTTGCTCACGAGAGCAGCCATCTCGCTTTCATTAGCTGCGAGAAGATTGGTGTCGTCGGCGTAGGAGGTTGGTCAATTTTACCCCACCAATGGTAACTCCACCATCCCAGCCTTCACAAGTCCGTCTCATTCAGTCATTAATTTTTATAACACAATGATTTTATATTCTTTTATCATGAAAGTCATTCGTAAACCTTTTAAATCATGTTATGGATGTATTTTATTCGAAACGTATAACTTCTTGTAGGAATTGAACACTGACATTGCAACGATATTTAAGCCCATGATAACATATAATATAATAATAGATAATTTTGAAAATGGAGGTGTAAATAACATTTAAAAATCTCGAATTTCTTTACTTAAAACGTATTGAGCCCACCCTAATACTATGTACTGGGTGGGTGGCTATTATTTTCTGCCTATTTTTGCCAAAGCATTTCTTACGGGGTGGGATAGGCCTTATATCAATACGAACTTATGTCATTGCGGTTGGCAACGCTCACGCGGCCCGCACAAACTTAAAATTACTCCAAATTATTCAATCCCGTTTTTGCAGGATAGCCCTAGGAGCCCCGTGGTTCGTCAGGAACGTTGACCTCCATGACGACCTGACTTGGAGTCCATCAGTAAGTATTTTCAGTCGGCATCGATGCGCCACTTCGATAAAGCGGCACGACACGAGAACCCTCTCATCGTGGCCGCCGGAAACTACATTCCCGATCCTGCGGACAGAATGGAAAGCAGTCGACGTCGCCCCAAACACGTCATTTCGGATCCTCACGATCCACTAACGGTGCTTTTAGATACCTCAAGCACCGGTCATCGTTCTCGTCGAACCCGTCGCTTGCGACGTAGGACTCCACGACTAAATTGACCCTTAGACACAGCCCACTGAGTTTCTCGCCGGATCTTCTGTGGGTTGCGTTTCCAATCCGTAATTATTTTTATCCGTAATTAAATTATAATTTGCGTAATGACTGGTGGTAGGACCTCTTGTCAGTCCGCACGGGCAGGTATCACCACCCTGCTTATTTCTGCCGTGAAGCAGTAATGCGTTTCGGTTTGAAGGGTGGGGCAGCCGTTGTAACTATACTGAGACCCTAGAACTCATATCTCAAGGTGGGTGGCGGCATTTACATTGTGGATGTCTATATCCACCACTTAACACCAGGTGGGCTGTGAGCTCGTCCACTCACATATGCAATAAAAAATAAATAAATGAGATTCGACCCCTGGCAAAATGGATTCTGAAAATCCTGAAATGAAAATAAAAATAAAACAAGGTGCCGGCCAGACGGGGCACGGCCGTAGGTTTTGGTATTTGAAAAATTGCAGAAAGAGTATAAAGAAACAATAGTCTAAAAAAAATTTCTTTATTTACAATATAACTATCACAATCGTTTATAATAATAAGATAAGTTCACAGCCCAACTGATAATCAGGTGGTTACGAGAGCCGGGCTACCATACAAGATTACCATTGCAGGAATTTAAAGACACACATGATCAGAACAATATATTTTACCAATTATGGCAATTGCTGATTAAAATTTTGTGAAAATTATCATTAACTTTTGTTTATGGTAAACTAAAGTTCTAAAAGGATTGAACGATCTAAAAAGATAACCTCTTTTATTTATATATATAATTTAATTTAATTCATCATTTTAAGATTGAAATAGGTACTGAACCTACAGCTATCCTTAATGTCCTGTACTAACATTGAGTTAGTACTGAAATGGCCTAATTAGCAAATAATGTAATGAACCTATGGAAGCTATATTTTTCATATTGTAAACATAATTAAAATAAGTTTGAATAAGGTACGCAAAACATTAGCAAAACAAAATCCTACTGTGCTCTCATGATATAAAATAGGACACAGGCTACTCATATCAAGTTTCACACAAGTATGTACCTTCTTTATAAGCTTATTATTTATCATCCTGTTATTCATAGATAAAAATAAAGTAGTTTGATTTAATTTAATGCTAAATAATTTCCTTACAAATCTCAAAATATCAATTTGGTGTCCATACTATTATTGCACTTGCATACAAGTACTACCATCTTACTATGTATGTAGTTCATGGCAGCTACAATTAATAAAAGGCTTACCCTTGATTTGAATTTTTCTAATTTTAGAAAATGTTGATTATAAAATCTACCACCATAATACCTCATGCCTTTACCACATATGTACTGTATTTAATATTGCACTGCACCATGATAACCTGTTTTTAACTAAATACAATAACAATTGTAATCTTATATTCAGTTTACCTTATTTTCTGTGTTCACAGTTTACTTTTCTTGTTAAATACTTCTAAAATATATTCATTTCCTTTGTTCCATATCTTATTTAGTTCTTCTATTTCTTTAGCATTTGCTGATAAAAGATCATTATGATAAGAATTTCTCAGTAATTTCTTGGTTATAGTTAGTGAATGTTGGGGAGTTTTTGATACTTCAACTATTTTATCCCAAACTTTGCTTTGTAGCTCTTCAGTTTTATAAATGTAATTGATAAATCCACAATCCAATGCTTCTTTGGCAGACATCTTATGATTATAAAGTAACATTTCTGCAGCCTAGAAAAAAAAGATTGGTATTGTTTTTATTGTGTGTATTTGTTGTTTGTTTGGTTGTACATTATTTAGCAGATTTTGGTCTAAATGGCTTAATGGATTTTTGTGAGATGTCTTGAGATTGATCTTATAATAGGATAAAGTGTTTAATAAAAAACACAAAACAAGTTAAAGAAAAAAAATTCTGTTTTGATCAATAGTTAGTGGCTGGAAATAATAGTCCTGCATACTTATGCCATGAAAACGTAGAATTTAAGGATAAGGTAGGGTAAATTTTACTCCATTACAATATAGATTTAAATTTTATAGCTCATGGTAGAGTAGCTTATTTATCACAATACAAAACATTATTAGACAAACCTTCCTTTCACCAATTAGTCTTGGAAAAGTAAATGTGGAGCATCCTTCAGCTACAATTCCCAATTTTGTGAATGGTGTATAGAAATATGACTGAAAAATCAATCAAATTTAGTTTCTGATATATTATTATCCTGTCTGAAGTTTTAAATAATATGTGTATTTTTTTTTTTAATAATATAATTTAATTTTTTAATATTTTATAGATTGTGGTATAGGTAAGTAAAAGTTGCAATTTAACTTAAAAACTTTTTAAAATTCATGTTACACCTTTTTTAATCTCTGTTGATAAAGGTTCAAAATCGACTTTCACATCAACAATGCCAGATTACGGCCAAGTTGCTGTTTATGGTATATAAAATTGACTCAGAAAGAAGAAAAGCAGTTTTTCTGTAAACACATTACTTTAAAGTGGAGCTTGCTAATAGATAGCAGGCAATCCTTTACATAATTAATTTTCTAATTAGCATATTAAATATAAAACTTACATTCTCTGAGGCGAACACTAAATCACAAAGTGCTAATGTTGTGGCAGCAATACCAATTGCAGGTCCATTTACAACGGCTATAAGTATCTTTGGAAATTTAATAAATGCTGTAATATATTCCTTCAGTATGTTTGAGATGTTGTATTTTGGGGTTTCAAGAGCTGCTGTGAAGTCATTGCCACTACTATAATAATCACCCGCACCTGTTAAGACTATCATTGATATATTTTCATCGTGTGCTGCGGAATCGAATATTTCCTTAACTTTAACATACATATGAACGTCTATTGCGTTTTTCTTAGCAGGTTTGTTGTACTTCACAATCTTTATCGTCCCCAGATAAGATTCAGTAATATTTTCTGAATTTGCCATTTATGCTGGTGCTTTTGTAATCAGTAGGAATGATAGTACCGGTAAAATGGGGCGTTTAGGGATTGAGAGGCGAATCGGGAAAAAACCGGGAAAATCTTTCGACGCTCAATATAAGTTTTATATTCGTTGCAAAATCTTCCATTTTTTGTAGTTTAATAGTAGAATGTTGAAAGTTCACAAAACAACTCTGAATATGCATGATAATAGCTGCTAACTTATAAAAAATCGCGTTNAATGTTGTGAATTTTCTTAAAAAATGCGAAGAAACTTTTTCCCCAACCTATTATTATATAGAAATAAAATAGTAAACAATGTTTACAATAAGCAAGCTGTTTAGGCTTACTATACTGTTTTACATTGGACGGTAATGGGTAAATTAAGTAAATGAAATTACAAATTTTACAGCGCCCCCCTAACCCACATCAACGCCCCCCATTTTTTCTGGGCCCCTTAACGCCCCCCTCTGGGTTTCAAACGCCCCCAGGGGGGCGTTATCGCCCACTTTGAGAAAGACTGATATAGAGCGACCGGTTGTATCGCGTCTCGACTCGGCAGGCTGGTTCTGGTCTGGCGGGGTATTCCGGGACATCAGCGGCACCGTCTGGGCGGCCCGACGGGCTGCCGTACCGAGACAGCTGACGTTTCAGAGTCTTCGATTCGCCTCGAAGGCTCCGTCGGCTGGGCGTCCTTGGGGTGAGCCGCGCCGTCTGGTTGTAGTGTAGACCGCGGTAACCCCCCTACCTCATCCGGGTTCTGACCTCGGAGGGGATCGGACGTCGGGTGTAAGAGTGTAGGGGAGTCGTTTAGTGGGTGGGCCCTAAAATCCTTGGGCCCGCGGTCTGCTCACAACACCATGCAGATCGTTGAGTCTCACATACCCTGCGCGCCTCTTTTGCTCGGGGACCTCGTAGGAGGTTCGGCCCCCTACCCGAAAAAAAAAGAGGATCAAATCTGCGACATCCTCCATCCAACTGTCGTAGCCCCTCTTATCCAGGCATTATTGCAGCAACATTCTTATTATAAAATCGATTTCGATCTTGATTTTTAATCCTATTAATATCAGAAATTATTCTTTCTACTTTGGCGTTTGACAAAGGTAGTATCGTCATTTGCTTCACAAATCGGGACTAATTGCCATACCTTGGTTTGTTATTCGCATCACAGATTTGGCTGCCTTCACTCCAAAATTTATCCACCATAAAAGCTTCTGACGTCGAACTAGAAGTTGACAATAAGTTAGACACGGAACCATCTATACAATTTTAATTCCCTTTAATTTTTGTCAACAATTTGCATGTTTTCTGTTGCAACTACAAGGATATCGTGATAAATGGGACATCGCGATATCCTTGTGTAGTAGTTTAATTTTAAACTTGATTGTAAAAATTCTCAATGAAGGAATTCCCGCTAGTCTATCACACTTGGTAACGAAAGGAATAAAAGTTAAATAATTACAATCCATTCGATGAAAGGGGGAATACCCCGAATTTATCCGATATGCCAAAAAATACTAGAATAACTGAAAAGCGTGAATTCTACTAAAATATGCCAAATAATTTTAATGCCGGCCACTGACATGCGCGCAAATATTCGTACATTGTACGAATGTTTGCGCGCATGTGAAGGGCCGTCAAACATTCATTCGCAAACCTAGCGGCTGTGCAAATGGGTTCGCATACTCAATTTGCGGACCCGTTTGCGCTTCCTCCTACACTTGTTTATGAATGTCTCACGAATTTCTCCTCCTTTTTAATTCGTCAATAGAACATTGAAGAGAAAAAGAGTTTTTAATTCTTTCCCAGACATCATTAACAGCCATGCTGTTTTTATGGGATTTCTTTTGATGAAGATACGCTACACAGTAGACGTCACGAACTATGAAAATGGCGTATAGTATACGTCCGTTACCTTCGCGATCGTCAGCTCAACTGGGCAAGCGAATGTGTGGGAGACTACGCGAAGGTTCGAGGTTCGCGCGCTTTGATGTCTGAAAACCGATACAGCTTGGAAAACCACGAATGCAGCGAAAACTTTACATAATCATTCGCAAATGCCGTCCTACACTTGTGGGTTTGCGTATTCGTGCGCATGTGAGTGACCGGTGTAACATACTAAATTCTGTTGCCAGTACCTCAAAATCTACCAAAAAAGTAGAAATCTACTAAATCTGCTGAATGCAATACGGTACACGTTTTAATCGGTTTTTTAAGGGATTTTATGACCTGGTAACTAAGGCCTTTAAGTCATGTCTTAGTTTAGTTTTTATTCTTATTTTTATGAAAACTGATGAAATGAAATGAAGATGATTAATTTGAGACATTAATCAACTGGGATGAAATCAAATGAAATGCGATGATATGGGATGAAATATAATCTCAGCAAAATAGTGGTCATCTACTGAGACTTTTTCACCAAAATCGGGACCTTTTGGAGGATCCCGAGAAGTGACGTCCAGCGGCTTTGTTTCATTTTCCCACATTTGTGCACTTTCACAGGTATTAAACAGTAAATAAACCACCCTTATTACACATTTAAACCTGAAGAAACATTAAATAGAAAAAATAAAACAAATTACACAACTTAACTCCTCGCGTTCCCGCCAAAAGGTCCAGTTTTAGTCGGCTTAAAGGCTTATTACACTTGGCTAAATTTAGTCGACTGAATTCAGTCGCTACTGAATTCAGTGAAGTGTAATAGCATTAAGTAAGTTAGCCTACTAAATTCAGTAGCAAGGATGGTTTCCGACTGACTAAATAATTTAGAAGCCTAATTAGAAACGCATTTAGGACGGTGTAATCGGATTTAGTTACTTAATGGTTTCAGTCGTCCCATAGCTCTCCGTGCATAAGGATGTTTTAGTTTGTTTTTTACTTCCGAATAAAAAGTATTGATTTCGTTCGCCTTTATTTAATGTGCCAGACATTTATAAAGAGCCCGACATGTTTCAGGGATAATTTTTGTCATCAGGGGTTGGGATATTGAAGAACTAAATTTTAAATCTTGATACGAATTTCCTGTTGCAAGAAATCTTAATGTTACAACCAATCTTTCTTTTGGACTTATACTATCGTAGGATTAGATATGCAATAGTTCTAAAGTAGATATATAATAAACTATCGTAGGATAGTATCCTGCTTTTGATTAAACAGTGTCACAAGGTTTAATATTGGGTCAAACGAGCTCGAATCCATTTATAGATAATAGCGACTCGCCCTCGCTTCGCTTCGGAAACATTAAAACACAAATGAAACCAAAAAAAAAAATAAAAAAAAAATAAAAAAAGTAGCCTATGTTCATCAGGGACAATGTCGGCATCTAATGGAAAAATAATTTTTAAAATCGGTCCAGTAGTTTCGGAGCCTATTCGAAACAAACAAACAAACAAATCTTACCTCTTTATAATATTAGTATAGATATAGATTTCTGAAGTCTGCTGGTTCTAAATCACTCATATTTGCTATTCATTCTATTCATATTTGCTATTTTTCCGCGGAGCAATAAATATTTCTTCACCCATATTCTTATTCTTTTTTTTTTCAACTGAGCCGACAGCGACGCCTTTACTAAGACTAATTTTTTGTTGTCTAGACAATATTGGAGCCATCCTCGTACACACACGACACGTCCTACTTCGTCGCGCTTAAACTGACAATTGATTCAGTTTTTTTTCCACAGTAGAAAATTGCCGTTTTTTTTTCCACCCGCACTGCAGGTGGGGTATGTGGGAGTCAAACCTCACTAAAAACTCCTGCCGCTCACAGCCGGCGCCCTACCCCGGACCGGGCGGGAACCCAGTCAGAGCTATTGAGACGGCGGGACAGGGCTTACGCAGAGCATAATACATCCATCCCGCCGTTCCCCAGACGCCGGACCGGCGGCCGCCAGCAACATGATCGCCGGTTCCCTCGGTCGACGGGCCAAGAGCCCGATTGATAGCGCCACGCTACACCTTCCCCCGGAGCGGTCAGGGGAACGCTACCTACCTGGCCGCCCCATGCCCAGGTTCCTCCCTGCACAAAGTGGGTGGAGCCCGAAGCTCTTAGGGGGCCGGGTTACGGACGGGACCCCGGTCCCGACCCCCTGCTCGACGGCGGCGGGTTTCTGCGTAGTGAGGAGAGCTTTGCCTCACTCACCTCGCCACCTCCTTCTGCGAGATGGTGCACTCGCAGAAGTCGAGCATAGCCTTCCAAGACTTGTCGCCGCCAAGCATCGACGCCACGACGCCAGGCAGCGACAAATCCGGTCCTATCTTTGCGACAAGGACACGGCGCTGCACCTCCCAAGCGGGGCAGACAGCGAGCGTATGCTCCGCCGTGTCCAGGTTGTGTCCACAATGGTGGCACCTCGTCGTCGGCTCAGCTCCTATCCGGTGCAGGTACTTCCCGAAGCATCCGTGCCCCGTCAGCACCTGCACCAGATGGAAGGCGTGACGCGTCCTCGGCCACGATTCACCCAGTCATCAAAGACTGGGTAAACCGCCTCGACGGTCCGTAGACCCTACGTGGGGTTGGCCAACCGCCTCCACCACGATTCGAGCACGGACCGCCGAGAATGGGCCTTCCGTGATTGTAATTGCATTTAGAACAGTGTAATCAGAAACTTCTAAATTTGCTTCTGAATTCAGTCGACTAAATTTAGCCAAGTGTAATAAGCCTTTTTTTTAAAGGGATTTTATGACCTGGTAACTGAGACCTTTAAGTCATGTCTTATTTTAATTTATATTCATATTTTTATGAAAACTGATATTATGGAGTGAAATGAAATGAAGATGATTAATTTGAGACATTAATCAACTGGGATGAAATTAAATGAAATGAGATGATATGGGATGAAATATAATCTTAGTAAAATGGTGGTCATTTACTAAGATTTTTTCAGTGGACTTTTTGGAGGATCCCGAGAAGTTGCGTCCAGCGGCTTTCTTCATTTTCCCACATTTGTACACTTTCACAGATATTAAACAGTCAATAAACCACCGTTATTACACATTTAAACCTGAAGAAACACTAAATAGACAAAATAAAACAAATCACACAACTTCACTCCTCGCGTTCCCGCCAAAAAGTCCTGTGATAAGCCTTTTATCAAAAACACCATAGATTATACATTAAAAAATACACCTATAGTTAAACAAAAATATAAACGGTACCGTAAAATGGGGCGATTAGAGCTTGAGAGGCGAATGGGAAAAAAACCAGGAAAATCTTTCGACGCTCAATATTAGTATGGGCAGTATTTAATCCTACAACTGTAAATGCAACTTTTTCTATTCAAATATTCGAAATTACCACCAAAAATACTGAATTGCGCACTAAATTTGCTGATCAAATAAATCAAATCTAATATACTATTTGATCTATAAAGCTACACTGTTTTACTAAATGATTATTTGTTAACTAAAAGTAAAACTGATAATTCTGTGTGTGCAACAAAATTTTAAATCAATTTTTTTGAAACTCGTCACCTATTTAACTGTTAAGAACATGAGTTATTCTAAAAATGAAACACCAGTTAATCAGTCATGTTTATCAAATTACAGTGCACAAAAAATCAACTAAGTGCAATCTTAATATACACTAACAATTGCAAAACACTAAGGTAACTCAGTTTTTAGTTTAGCGCACGCTAGTCACCTGCCTCGCATGAGAGGGGTGGCGCCGTGACCTCGTCGCAAAAATAGGAAACGACTTGTCGTTGCCGAGTGTTGTAGCATCGATGCTCGGCGGTGACGAGTCGTGTAAGGCGATGCTTGCCTTCTGCGAGTGCACCATCTCGCAGAAGGAGGCGCCGGGGCGCGTGAGAGATGCACAATCCCGTCGCCATCGAGCCAGGGTGGCGGATCTCGCCAAGCCCTGGCCCTCTAAGTGTTTCGAGTCCCCTTCACATGTTGGTCTGGGGACCGGCGAAGGGGGCCTAAGAAGACGACGTGCAAGCTGCTCTGCACGCGTTTTACACAAGAGCATCCGGATGATGGAAGGTCGGCTATCCTTGACCCACGCTGTTTCTGACCCAGCGGGGCATTCCGTAGGATAACCTATTCTAACCAGCGCCATCTAAGCGGGCTTCGGATGGCCTGCCGACCGAGAGTATGTTTTTAGCTTCTACAGGTGGTGTGACATATTTAACTCGCGGTCCAACCTTTCAGCTCGATCGAAGGAGAATTTGAAAATGATTCCAACTGATCTGGAGACGCAACACATCAATATCCTGTAATAGTCTTCTTTTTTTTTGCATACAAATTTTTCTACATTGGTCATAAAAAAAAATTGCATGGCCCAGCACATTTTTACAGTACATTTTTCACCAACTACTTCTTTAAATGCATTTTTTACGCTCATAGGCGCGTCGCAAATTAATGCCTTTGGTTGTAAAGAGTTTGGGAGAAAACGCTGTTGCAAAGAGCTTCAAACAACATTTAGAAATCTTGTATTCGTTCAGAAGTTCAAAAGAACGTAAGAAGTTCAGAAGAACAAAAAGAACTAAAGTTGGGTGATGGGGATTTTAGCTATACAAGCAGTAAATTCGTGGAATGTAATTTGATAATGTAAACATACATTATCTGTTATACACTTTTAGAAAATGATTTTGGAAATTCCGTTGTAAGATGGTTAATTTAGTGCGCAAATCAGTATTTCTGTTATACGGTGAGTAATTTTGTCTCAAAATCTTTATATTAGTGGTTTCAGCTAGGTTTTCGTTGTAAATTAGATAAAAAAGATCATCTGATTTTGGTTAATTTTATACGTGTTTTAATAAATTAAGTTTAGGTGATCAAGTAGTTAATTTGTAACGCAGTCATTTATCTGATATGCAGTGGATTATTAGTTGGGAGATTTAGTTTGCATGAATTTTAAATAGAGGAGCAATTAAAAATTCCCCTATTAGTATTAAATTCGTTGCAAAATCTTCCATTTTTTGTAGTTTGAATAGTTGAATGTTGAAAGTTCACAAAACAACTCTGAATATGCATGATAATAGCTGCTAACTTATAAAAAATCGCGTTTCAAATTAACTTCCTGTGGTGGTAATTATTTTAGTGCTAGAAACTTTGCTCTCTTTTATTTATTTGATAATAATAGAAGACGACTGTGATTTTTAAACGTTATTTATTGTTTGAACCATCATATATATTAAAGGTAAGTCTCAGTTGTTATTCGTTTTAATGTATTTGATAATAAAAAATACATGTAAAAATCTGTTGTTTTTGGGGATATTGGGGACGTCTTAGGTACAAATAACAACGAAAAGGGGTCAATTGGGACAAGAAAAAGTGAATTGGAAACGACCTAAGTATAAATAGGTACAGGTTTGTAGGGCTATCTATGTAGTTATAACAATATTTTTTAAATTTGTTGGTAAAAATCTGGTTTATTCATGATGTTTTTGTCTAGAACTTTTATTCAAAATTATCAATGTGTTATTTTATTGTTTGTTAAATATTTATATTATCAGTTACGTATTGTTTTCTATTTTTATATAATATGCTTCGCGTGTACATATCAAAGAGTGCAAAGCCTTATAAGAGATATGATCCCTTAATATTAAAAACAGCAATAGAAGCTCATGAAATTGGGAATAAGTCTTTAGTTGAAATAGTTAAGCAATTTAATATAATTAAGTCGATTTTGCACGGACATGTAACAAGAACAATGAAATTTCAAGGTGGAAAAAAATGTCTAAGTAATACATAATAATATATTTGTTCAGAGTGGGTAATGGAATAAGCGACACACCTAATCTCTTAACCCAGATAAAAATATCAGCCCCTAAGTACTTACCAAGAACGAAGAAATATAAACCGTTTATAAAAAAGCCCGCTCGTTTGAATTTAGGTGCTTACTCTCCGATACACAGAATCCTTTGGGACTACAATAATGTTCACGGTATCGCGATAGCGTGATCTCCGTCAATGTTCATTCGAAGTTGTCTGATTGCGTTGAACTAATTTTAAGTGATGAAATAGATGTTTTTTTTAATTGTCTCACAACTACTTTACTTACAAATCTGTCGCGGATCATTTCCCAAGTAAATATAAATTAATCATAAGTAAATAAATGTAATCAAGTTTTAGTTAATGCACTGTCGATTGCACCTATAATTGAGGTGACATCTGCCATGTACTTTTGTCAGTTTTTCAATGTTTTTTATTGATGATCACTTTGTTGGTGCAACTAAATAAATAAATTAATTAAAAGCAAGTAGTGCAAACCCTACCAAATTTCTCATTTCGTCCCCATTAACCGCAGTTTCCGGGTAAATAGGGATTACACCTATTTTTGCTTTTTTGCTTAAACTGGAATGCTAGTTGCATAGTTTTAAATTGGACAACAAAGATGACCCCAAGACTCAATCATTTTGATCTTGATATAGCATTATATACATCAACAACTACCATAAAATTGGTCATAAAGCTGGAATTTGTCCCCAATCGCCCCATTTTACCGGTGCTAATGACAATTCATTTGACATTTTACTATTTGTCTCTCAAATATATAATCTATGCTTTTGTCATTAAAATTTCGGGATATTGGGTTTAATGGAATGAAAATTCAAAAACGTGTTCCGTGTGATTTCAATGGGCTTGACCAAATTATTAACTTGGTTAATAAATGGAAGAAACTTTGTGCCACGCTTGACACCTATCCCAAGACAATTTTTAAGTAGTTATCCCTGTAGAAGTATAAGTACTACCAAAATGTTTAAGTCAGCTGTTATGAATCTACGGGAAGCAAGCAATGACCAAGTTCAAGAATTTCTTAATTCTTTCGACACTGTTCTTACGGACTGTGATGGTAATAATATATTCTTTCATGTTTGCTGAAATTGCTATAAGTTTGTCTCCCGAAAACACTGAACTTGAAAAAGAAAACTGCAATCGGAAGATCAGATGATGATCAGATGATATGATTATATAAAATATTACATTGTTTTTGTGTTGAAATTATGAGAAAATTTGAATTTAAAAATGAATCAATGTTTATTTAGGGGTGTATGATTTAATAAGTTGATTTGGAACATACTTATAATGAGTATTGTTTTCATTGAATTTCAAAGGATGTCAAGTCTTTTTCAATTACATTTGGATTCTAGTTATTATAATTCCACGGTTGGCGAATATCGGACTCTATATCATTATGTGAATATTGCCGGTGGAAGTAGATNTTTGAATTTGAAAATGAATCAATGTTTATTTAGGGGTGTATGATTTAATAAGTTGATTTGGAACATACTTATAATGAGTATTGTTTTCATTGAATTTCAAAGGATGTCAAGTCTTTTTCAATTACATTTGGATTCTAGTTATTATAATTCCACGGTTGGCGAATATCGGACTCTATATCATTATGTGAATATTGCCGGTGGAAGTAGATGTTACCCAGCTTGGGCTGGGCACATATAATATCAATTTTTTTTACAGGTGTATTGTGGATAGACAATAATGTCATACCGGGTTCAGCTGAGACCATGAATTATTTTCGTAAATTAGGAAAGAAAATTTTTTATGTGACGAATAATTCTACAAAAATTCGTAGAGATTTTGCTCTAAAAGCACAACAACTGGGTTTTATAGCAAGTGAGGTAAAATTACATATCTGTTAGTTTCTATAATGTATTGAAAATAATCTACTGGTTTTTTAGATCTTGTATTGTATTTTAACTGTTTTTACAGTTAATTAAAACTACTTGTTTACACATGTTTAATCTTGTCATTATACTACATAATATTCATATGTTGACAAATAACACCATTCTGTGACCACAAAATTGTGAAAATTGTGAATTTGAAAAGTTATAAATAATAAAATGACAATAATAATTTAACTGAATAGTAGCTTTGATTATATTTATGACTTATGAAATCCAAAGAAAATAATTGTTGTTTACATTTTTATTTAAACCTATACTTTAAGGGAGAATTTGCTAATACGTCTAATTTACTGATACATTGGTATGTATCAGTAAATTAGAATCATATTTTTGTAAAAAACTTTTTATAAAAACCTAGGTTGTGTTTGTACACAAAGTAGGTTTTTATAAAAAATGTGTTTCTAATTGTAGCCTAAGATTGTTGTTTGTGTTAAAATTTTCTAAGGTAATGTTTATGCAACACATTTCACAAATAATTTACGTTATGAAGAATTAATGTCATTAAGTAAGAATCAAACCTACAAAATAAATAAATTAGTGCAATTACTGGTACTACTTTATTGTGAGAGATAGGTTACTACTGTGTCTACTTTAATGCTTTTTCTGCTGCTAAACAATCATGTGTTTTGTTTTGAAGGAGGGAACTACTGTTGTACAATAAATTTGAAGTTTTATGGTATCAATATAATTTTGAACTTATCTAGAGTGCATAAAATCTTTGAATAATTAAACTTCAGCTTGTCACTTACAGGAAGAAATCCTTTCCACTGCTTATTTGGTAGCACATTACCTAAAAGGTATTGGCTTTACCAAAAAGGTGTATCTTCTTGGGTCCAATGGCATTGGAGAAGAACTTAAAGCTGTTGGTATTAGGCATATTGGTGTTGGTGTAAGTAGATTAATTAAATTTATTTAAATAGATTCACTAATAAAGTAAACTAAACAAAATCTGGTGGTAGGACCTCTTGAGGTTCGCGCGGGTAGGTACCACCACCCTGCCTATTTCTGCCGTGAAGCAGTAATGCGTTTCGGTTTGAAGTGTGGGGCAGCCATTGTAACTATACTTGAGACCTTAGAACTTATATTTGTTCATAAAATATACTTGTTCATAAAAATGATAATATGAGTAATAAAGTCCCAATTTACATTACATAAGTATGTTAAAATATCCTGTATGACACTTGCGTGGTTTGTGTTTTCGACCACCTCATTACCACTAATACTGTAAAATCACTTATACTATTAATATAATTTACAGCCAGATCATGTCCAACCAGATTTCAAAAACATGAAACCTTCAGATTTAGATCCTGAAGTTGGAGCTGTTGTTGTTGGATTTGACGAGCATGTCAGTTATCCGAAGTTTATGAAAGCAGCTTCCTACCTTGCTTCTGAAGAATGCTTGTTTGTGGCAACAAATACTGACGAGAGGTTCCCAAAAGCAGCATCTATTGTTGTACCCGGAACCGGTACCCTCGTGAGGGCTGTAGAAACATGCTCAGAACGAAGGGCATTAGTAGTTGGAAAACCCCATGCATATGTGCGGAAGTTTCTTGAATCTTGTGGACTGAGTCCAGAGAGGACATTGATGATTGGAGACAGGTGATTATTAAATATCTGTTCATAAATACAAATCTTCCTCTTGCCCTTATCTCTCTACTATTAGGGGTCAGTGCAGCATGTCTTCTTTTTTTATTGATACGTATAATATGTCATCTCTGCACTCATAGCCTTCTCCCACATATCCTCTTTCACAGAGTCTATCCAAGTCTTTCTAGGACGCCCCCACCTATTTGTAAAATTAAATTAACAAAACTACTTTATTAAATACATTTTTTAGTGTGTGTAGTAATGTTGAAACGCTAAAACAAAATATTGGATTGTTTGTTTTGTAGATGCAATACCGACATAGAACTAGGTGTCCGATGCGGTTTTCAAACACTCCTCGTGTTGTCTGGTGTAACATCTGCTAAAGATCTGGAGAAGATACGCAGCGAGAAGAAACCGCCGTTGCCAGATGTTGTTCTACCGAAACTTGGGGATTTGCAGTCACTTGTAACGTCATAGTATAGTAGGGAACATAAATTCGACAAAACAATAGCATGTTAATAGGTCAATTGTAAAGCAATTAAAGTTAGATTTAGTAGTAAAGATGCAAGGAACTGCTTATAAAAATATTTATACTATTTAACCAAATCAAATGTTGTAAGCATTTGAAACATAATATTGCTAAATGCTTGTAAGAGTAATACATGAAACATATCGTTGATTTAATTTGATAGTGGCACAGGTCTTATAATATTATATAAATAGTTTGTGGAGTTTCTCAGAAAATGGATCATGTCCTTTTACTGTAAATTATAAGGCCCGTAAAAAATATTTACTAGTCACCAGATTTATTATAAACTTATTGTGTTTGTTATAATATTTTTAGATGGTATTCGTTGGGTAGATATATTATGATAGCAGAACGGGAAATTAGTTTAGTTAGTGATCGGATAACCAGTAAAATTCACTTTTTTTTCCTTCCTAAGACCATCAGCTTGGTCTAGAGAGACCATGTCAGCGTCGCCGGGCTAGTAGGTGAGCTCACGGGGCTCAAACCTGACGATGTTGCTAACACGAACCCTAGCGAGAGCCTTGCTTTGCAGAATCTACCACCGGATCGGAAACGCAACCCACTGAGAAGATCGGGCGAGAACGATGACCGGTGCTTGGGGTACCTAAAAGCACCGTTAGTGGATCGGAANAGCTTGGTCTAGAGAGACCATGTCAGCGTCGCCGGGCTAGTAGGTGAGCTCACGGGGCTCAAACCTGACGATGTTGCTAACACGAACCCTAGCGAGAGCCTTGCTTTGCAGAATCTACCACCGGATCGGAAACGCAACCCACTGAGAAGATCGGGCGAGAACGATGACCGGTGCTTGGGGTACCTAAAAGCACCGTTAGTGGATCGGAAAGATCCGAGATGACGTGTTTTGGGCGACGTCGACTGTTTACTATTTGGTCCGTGGGACCGGCTATGTAGTTACCGGCGGCCACGATGAAAGGGTTCTCGTGTCGTGCCGCTTTATCGAAATGGGAAAATTCACGCGATTCCTTCCATCACATTATAGAAATAATTGTGGGTCGCGGAACACGCAATATGCATTTTGTTTATATATTGCACAATATAAGCTCTAGAAACACTGGCTTCCGTGTGTGTGTCCGTTTACTGACGAGCCTTTTTATTTTTCGGAAGGGGGGCCGAACCTCATGCGAGGTTCCCTCATCTAGGCGCGCGGGATATATGGGACTCTGTGACCTCGTAACTTACGATTAAAGAAAGACCTTTTTTATGGCTCGTGTTGCAATCTGTTTCGTTATACTCAGTTGCGACATCTAGTTAACGTTGTAGTCGCGCACCCCATATAGCAACCCACACTTCCATATGAAAAGATCATGTGCCACTATTTAACTATCAGGGAATTTGATGTTATCTACGACAGTCAGGATGCTAATGTCATCCAAAATCACATGAATTTTAGAATTGATTTCAGGAATGCCTAAGTTCGAAACTTCTAGTCATAGAAGTTAATATAAAAAAATTATGCATATTGTTACTAACGTCACGCCAAGCGAGACGTTCTACAGCGCTCTTTCTCTACAAAATGTCCACCTTTATCTTATAAAATAGTTTTGATCCTATTTCCTCGAAAACGTTTCACCTTTATCCGACTTTACAAGAGAAGGGTCTCGATATATTTTTGTGTTCCCTTGACTATTGATTCTAGTTGATAACTCTCGGTTTGGTATTTCTTGTCATAATTATTTTAATATAAAGATCCAAAAGGGGAGCCTGTTAAAATCAATGTAATATGTTAAAAGATATAATCATTGGGGTGCTTCCACAGAAATTCAACTATTGTCTAAATTGACAACTCTTTCACGAGGCTTTTTTATTTTAGTAAGTTTCATTGATGTATTTTACTCTTGTAGTCGGTTTCCAATGTTTTTTATTAATGTTTTTGATTGTATTTTATTATTGTATATGATGGATTATAAAGAAATGAAATAAATTGTAATTTATGGTTTCGAACGCATGGTTCAGACGCATATAGGTACAAATTCGTTATTATTTCGTGGTTTAATGGTTAAACTGTTAAAACTACATTATTTAACTTATTACGCAATAAAAATGTAATATGATTACAATGTAAGAATCGTTCTATACAACTGTTATCTGGATGCGAATTTATTTGCACAATAAAAATCTATTGGTTTCTTAGTTTTTATTTATTAAAAAATCGTTGACTTAATACTAAAAGCTATTAAGTACGACGTGTTGTATATACTTCTAATAGTGTTGTTGAAGTCTACGTGGCCTAAAGAAAAGGGACGAAGAAACAACATCCTGTAATAAGAATCAAACCTATGAAATCTATCAATTTGCTCTTAGTTTAAATGCTAGTTGTAGATTGAATTGTAAGCCCGCACGGGTAGTAACCACCACCCTGCCTATTTCTGCCGTGTAGCAGTAATGCGTTTCGGTTTGAAGGGTGGGGCACCCGTTGTATCTATACTGATACATTAGAACTCATATCTCAAGGTGGGTGGCGGCATTTACGTTGTAGATGTCTATGGGCTCCGGTAACCACTTTGGGCTGTGAGCTCGTCCATCCATCTACGTAATAAAAAATAGAATGAGATTCGTCCCCTGGCATAATGGATTCTGAAAGTCATTTAACGTACCTAATAGGGGTTAAAGTATTAAATTGCCGTTGTATTGTAATAGATACCTACTTCGAATTGACATAGAACCTTCATGGTTTGAGATTTTTGAGTGAAACTTTTTTCAAATGGTACCTATGAGGTTCTACTTTAAAAAAAATGCAACATTCGATTCTCAGCTTTCAGTTGTTTTTTTTATTCAGCTTAGACTAGAAAGATGGATACTTCAAACATTCGAGTGATGAATACGAGCTACGACGCGGAACTAACGCGGCAGAAACAGCTCGCAATATCAATGTTGCATTTGGAGAGGGGACTGCTAATGAACGCACCGTGCGATTTTGGTTCAAACGCTTTCGTGAGGGAAATTTTGATTTGAAGAACGAACCACGTGGGAGACCACCCACACAAGTGAATACTAATGAATTGAAAGAGATGGTGGAAGCCGATCCGAGCCAAACTACACAGGAACTAGCGGCATGGTTAAACGTTACCTTACCAACAATATTGACTCATTTGCGTCAAATCAATAAAATTAAAAAAATATGAAAACTGGGTGCCTCATGATTTAACTGATCTGCAGAAAGAAACGCGTGTTGAAACTTGTGTTGCCTTGCTGAATCGATATAGAAATAAAGGAATATTGGATCGAATTGTGACATGTGATGACAAGTGGATTCTTTACGATGACCGTAAGCGAAAAATGCAATGGCTGACCTCAGGCTAAACGCCGCAACAGTCTCTCCTAAAGCAAAGCTTACCAATAAAATTGTAATGGTAACTTTTTGGCGGTCTCAGTATGGCGTTATTCACTGTAGCTTTCTCCGAGCTGGACAAGCAATACCGGCAGATGTCTACTGTGCCGAACTCCGAACAATGATAGCAAAACCTGCAGTGAAACAGCCCCGAATCATGAATCGATCTTCACCATTATTGCTCCATGATAACGCGAGTCCTCATACAGCATGAGAAACCGTTTTACTTTTAACTCTACGGGAACTGCAATTAGACACCATTCGTCACCCTCCGTATTCGCCAGACCTTGCTCCAACGGACTACCATTTTTTTTCGTGATTTGGACAATTTTCTACGTCATAAAAAGTTTTCTTCCTAGAAAGCAGTAAAAAATGGTTTCTCACAGTTTGTAGAATCTAGATCAAAACTACCCAGTAGAGAACAATGATATTGGCGATGGGCGACATTTACGGGAATGTTAGAATAAAAAAAAAATCACTTGTGGTAAAGAATATATAGACCATTCTTCTGAGTTTAATATACTTTAAAACCTCTAATAATTTATATTATATATGTGTAATAGCTGGTAACCAAGGCTCTTTCAATGCAATGTTCGTAATACGAAATACAAGTTTGAGATTAGTATTCTATGATGGTCATTAATCACGGTTTATTACGTCATGTAATAATTTTTTATTTGACTTTAATCTAGTCTGCTATGAGTTTCAAAACAAATGGATCACTTTAAAAATAATCTATGAACAAAATTAGCAGTCATATTTACGTACATTATTACACCTAACATTATGTAGAAAAATTCGAGCAATCAACAAAATACCGTTAAAAACTTGAAAGCTTAGTGATTTCATAAACTAAAACCATGACGAGCATTTTGTAAAGATTACTTTACAGTCTTCGAAAAGGTTCGTTTTTGAGCATTGTAGTTTTTAAGAATAGATAAGCTAATATCTTGAAAAATTGACGACAGTAAAATCCCAAGCCACCAAATCCCAATATGCAATTTTTATCCTGAAACAAAAAATTACTTACCGTAATACGCATTACATACGGATGTTAAAAAGATTTGAACATTTGTATTATATTTTTCTCACTTTTTACATCGCTCTCACTGCAAAACACGCTATTTGAAAATATAAACCCAAACTGTTTTAAGTTCGTTCACAGAGCGATAAAAACGCATGCGTTTTATCGTAGCGCTTGCTATTCTAGGTACGATTCGCGCATCTCACGGGTGTTGTCAAACATTGGAGCTCATTTCGCCGCGCCAGTATCAAGCAGCAAGGCAAGGCGACAGCAGGCAGTATTAGTGCAGCAACGAAAAGTGCGTCGCTTAAACGCCTGTCCGCTACCGATTCGCTTGCATATATGATATCATCACACAAATACATTAAACACTGTGAGTCTATGTTTATTTTTTATATTTATCGTTTTTAAAAATAGTTTGTTTTGACCTTCACTGGATTCAGGAAGATTACAAATGGAATAATTTTCATTTCGTGTGTTTTTTTTTCTTTTATTCATTAACGGCTAGTGAAAATTCATGAAAATCCTAAACAAAAAGCCTGAGTATTTTCAGATCGGTTTCCTTTTGAATGCAAGAATAATATTTCTAGTCTTATTACGTTTGCCAAAACAAAGGAAATTCGTTCGGGGTGAATATTACCGGCGACGGCCCTCCGTTATGGCGCTCCCCTTTTCTAACGTGATCTCATGGCATGATAAAAATAAGCAGTCTTTAATTCAGGCCGATGTTGGTACGATGTAAGTGTTGTAATCTATTTATACGCTAGCTTATGTACCTCCAATGATGTTTTCATTAAAGTTGATAAGCCACGTTAGATTACAATTTAATGTGCAACCTTTCTATGACGCTATAGTTGTTATCGTTTAGGTATACGATATTCGTAATGGAAAAATGCGATAAAACAAAAAAAAAAACTATTTGAAGGTCTTTAGGTATTTATATTTTAGCGTCCAATAAAGCTGAACTAAAAAATAAAAACAAAATGTCTCATGTTAATTTAAAATTCTAGTATAAATACTGTACAGCGTTTATTGCAAGTAAATATAGTTATCAACAAAATCAGTTTCACTATAAATTTGGTTTTCAGAATAATAATATGTAGTAATGGTGTGAATGAATCTATAAAATAAACAATTCTCCGATGCAATAATAATATGTCGTCTTTATTTTATCTAAAAGTTCTCACTTTTTAAAGGTCAAATTGATACACTTTATTGCAACGCAAAACAAAAGAAACATGTTTCACGTTTTTAAGTGAATAAAATAATAATTGACCATTTTATTAGAATGAAAATATCAATCAAACCTTACTTCAACATAACCATTCGAAGGGTCGTTCACTTTAAAACATCCAGTTTTTCACACGGCATTTTCCACTGTCAAGATTTCCCTCCATTTATAGATTTATAGCCATGTTTATACGCATTAGGTGCCTCACTTCTTTTTACATTCTTTTAAACTTGTCTAAAAGTGAAGTTCATTTATCATTAGCAGACCTTACTTTCCTTTTCTTTGATGTAGCGATTGAATTGGTATGTTATTATTTACATTCCTGTTTAAATTATGTTGATAATTATTTTAACCTTTTTTGTGTATATTTGTAATATGAATCATGTGTTTTTATTAATGTGATAAAAATATTAATAAGCTTATCACATAACGATGTAGATATCCTTACTTGGTTCTTCCGTGCCCATTGTCTTCGTCATAAAATTTAAAATGATGACTGTATCCACCAATTAGGCACGTGCCTGTGCTTAAATTTGACTTACTTCCCTGAATACGATTTATTCTATGTACCTACCATTTTTAATCGTGAGTATGACCAGAACTTACAGTGCTAAATGTGTACTTTGTTATTTAACAGATGCACGTTTATTAGCATTGTATTTTAGTTGTAAAAAATATCGATGGTTTGTGGTAATAATGTTATGACAATCTATAAAATGTATCGAACTAATAGCTTAGCGTTGAAACACATATTATGTACCTACTTTAAGTATTTAAACTCTTTTCACAATACACGTAATGCAATAAAATCCATTCTACAAACGATTCAGAGATTTAAAAATTTCAAGCGGTTTACTTAAATTAAATTAGAATAGTATCAAAATTCATTGTCAAGGTACATGTATTTTTTTGTTCACCTTTCTTGAATTTGGAAGCCTTGGTCACGATAAGATTAGATATATTAAACTGTTATTATTTATCATTAAACATCAGACGTTCATATCGCACATTGATATTTTGCAGTTGCATTACTTCTAGTAATCATCGTAAGGCTTATTTTATCCACCGTAACGAAAAACGTAAGCAAATGAAACGCGACGGTCGGAATTTTAAATAGGTTGTGGCCCGCGGGACATGTAGGTCGGAAAGCTGTTGCTAGCAACGAACCAGCTGAAACCCATTTAAATTATCAATGGCTTTCACATCGCTTTGAATGCACACCGAACCGGGCCAGGTGTCGTTTTTTATTGTTCTAGATATACAGAGTTCCTTAACTACTTCATTTTTTCCCTCCCTATTTTATGGTTTTCTAAGGGCTATTCCAGCTACGCGCAGACAACTAGGTGAGTTGACGGGCTCAATCTGAGATAATTTACTAAGACTAGCCCTAGCAAGAGTATTTCGCAGAATCTACCACCAGATCGGAATCGCGACCCACTGAGAAGATCCGGCAAGAAACTCAGCGGGTTGTTTATAACCTCAAGTTCAATGGTTACCGAAGCCCACGCACATTTTAAAATATGAGGTCGAAAACTTCGTTTCGAAGCTTCTATATCTAAGCGGTTCTAAAAGTTATTACCTTTGTCTAAAATAATGAAATTAAAATCTTAAATAAATAAATGGGAACCAACCACGCACGGTCATCCGGCTCCAAAATAGGATTCGCTGTGTTATGTGTACCAGTCATCATAAGATAAACTAATTTAAATTTCCCAAAGTAGAGTATTTGTTATTCCACAGAAGACATTTTGTTGTTGGTTTTTCACTACTGGAATGTCGTGTTGGGGTTTCGATGCAAAAACTGTTTCTTCTTTTCTGTGTTCAGTTGTTCATTTGACCTCACCCATCTCTATTGGTCTAAAATAAACTATATTCACGAATATTTACATTATTATTATTATTATTATCTACTAATCAAATAAGTCAAAGGTTCTACTATTATGAAAATTCCAAATTACAATTCTTGGAACTATTGTTCGATGCTTGTCCTTGGTTAAATACAAAACATCTAGGTTTGAATGAGTTGTACGCAGTGCGACTTTTTTGAAATATTACAGCGATTGACTATTTGATGATAGCGTATCGGTCAATTTATTTATAAATAACAAAGAAGAATATGTATTCAATTATTGGAGATTCTTTTCAATAGTCATTTTCTAATGAAAAACGAGTACGCGGCCTACCTTATCAAAAATTCACCGCGTGTGACTGGTCTTAAGGATGGTAGTGATTATGATTATTTTTGGCTACCTGTACAATATCGTAGCATTAATTTAGCTGCAAATTTATAATATAGCTGCAAAATAAACTATACGAATCGATAATAACTGATGGAAGTTTATGCTAAACGTAATTCATAGATGAATTTATTCTAGAACAAATTGAGACGTTGATTCTCTGATCATTGGGTCAAATAGTTTAAACTGAAATAAAAAGACGTTGCTTACATTAAAACACCCACTGCCCACTAGCACAATTAGCGGAGGTGTAATATCGTTCTCTAACTCAAAGCCCCCGCATGGGTGTCAGGTCAATTGGTAAATGAATTAGCTTTTTAGTTTTATATTGACTTAAGTATTACGCCAGTCCTCAAGGTTAGATAAATAACATTCCCAAATGCAACTCAAGTCGTTTCCTTGTTAAAGTTTTTATTGTCTATTGTCATAGTCTAAGTGTGTGGGACGGGACAATGTTTTTTTTACAAAACTGCATTCACAAATAAATTAAATTAACGATTTAGTCAATGCGAACGTATTAAAATTAGAATATTTGAATTCTTAGCATGCACCCGCCAATGCAGGTAAATCTCCAAGTTTAATCAATGTTCGTTTTTCTGAAAAATACCACTGTAATAATGTAATAATTATGATACCTATGCCATAAATGTATCTACGTAGGTTTTTTTTATTGCTTAGATGGATGGACGAGCTCACAGCCCACCTGGTGTTAAGTGGTTAGTGGAGCCCATAGACATCTAGGGCGTAAATGCGCCACCCACCTTGAGATATAAGTTCTAAGGTCTTAGTATAGTTACTCTATAAACTATTTTGGTTCTGAGATTAATTTCTATGCTTTTGGTTAAAATCCATAAATCTAAAGTCCATTTCGTCTTTAATCAGATAAACATAGAAATATCAGAAAAAAGAGCCTTCTTTAAGGATAAGACGTCTGGTGCATTCGTATGTAGCGATGCACCGGAGTTCAAATCCCGCAGGCGGGTACAAATTTATGTAATGAAATACGTACTTAACAATTGTTCACGATTGACTTCCACGATGAAGGAATAGCATCGTGTAATAAAAATCAAACCCGCAAAATTATAATTTGCGTAATCACTGGTGGTAGGACCTCTTGTGAGTCCGCACGGGTAGGAACCACCACCCTGCCTATTTCTGCCGTGAAGCAGTAACGCGTTTCGGTTTGAAGGGTGGGGCAGCCGTTGTAACTATACTGAGATCTAAGAAACTGAGAACGCTGCCACCCGCCTTGAGACATGAGGTCATAGTCTCGATTGTACTGTACAACGGATATACAATCTTTCAAACCGGAACGGATGACTGCTTCGCAGCCGAATGTTAAAGTTTTCAAATTTATTAAGAAACTATATTCAAAACTTCGGAAATAATACTTAAAATGACAATAATTATTCCGCAAAATTAATTTTACTTAGGCCCACGACTCATGAAAACCGAAGAAAATTACCAACAGAGTGTGAGCTCAATTTTGTTGCGTACATGACATTGTGTCATTTAATCCTTAAAAGTATATCGTATATATTATCGTTATATTAATCGTATATATTATTAAGTATGTATGTATATACTTTTTGTAACTTAATATAAATTTCATTGCACCTACCACTATCCACTCTGCACTACCTTTAGTTGACTGGTAGAGACTGCCTTAGGCATTAAGTCCGCCAATGTAAATTTTACATGAAGTGTAATAAATAAATAAAATAAATAAATAAAGGGAAGTCGACTAAAGTAAGTGAAAGTTAACTAAGACTTTAGTTCCATTTTAAATAAAAGAGCCTTGTGGGTATTAAATTGTAACTAAGCATTTTGTTCTTATCGCAAAATTCGTTCTCTTACACAAAACAACAGTGCACGGTACGAGTTGGTAATCTCAGCTGATGGTCGTAACGTGTTTGCGGCAAAACGAATCAGCAAGGTCGGTGATGTAATTGCCGCTTTTAACACTAAAACGTGAGCCGTTAGGTACAACTACTATACATATAACTATTGCACACATATCTGTTATGATGTTATCCGTTTTGTATTTTTCTATGACATCACCACAGTCGTCCCCCAATACGTGCTTCGCTCACAAAGTTAATTTAACATTTGTAATTTGTTTACACTCGGTGAATTTTTTGTCTGACCTTATTGCAAATGCGGTGGTATTAACGATAACTTGTTTGTTAATTAGTTCATCAAAATCGTACCAATAGGCAAAGACAAAACAGTTCTTATTTCTTTTATCTATCAACAGATTTTCTTCCTTTTGTTTGGAAACCATTGACGAAGAGATTTAGTATTATCAAAAAAAGAAGGAAATAAATTAGTTTCTATGCTTTAAAAGAAAAACAACAATGAAAAAACAGAAAATGTAATAGACATATTGAATCTAAATTTTAGGTATTAGTGAGGTTCAATTCGCTCGTCTTCAATTAACTGGCTCAATCTATTTAGTATCAATTTGGTACTAGTTACCTATTACACGAATTAAGATACAAGAAGTATACGTTATGAAGCAAGGAAACCGATTCTATTAAAAGAATTATATAAAACGGCCGTCTGGTGTAGTGGTAAGTGACATGGTCACTACACAAGGGGGTCGCGGGTTCGAATCCCGCCAAGGGAAGATATTTGTATGATAAATATAAATGTCTTTTCCAGGGTTATGGATGTATATTAAATATGTGTATGTGTATATTAAAAATCTTATATTTATTTCCGTTATCTGGTACCTGTAACACAAGTTCTTTACGAACTTATCACGGGACCAGTTAACGTGGCGTGACTGTTAGTAAATATTTATTATTTATTATTATTATAAATTTCCAACCCTTGATTTCATCATAATCGTAAACATTTTGTAGGTAAATTTGTGAAACAAAAAACAAAAATAAATTTGTTTCTTTATAATATAACTTACTAAACATTTAAAATTAACGTTAAAAATTATGATACTCGCGATTTTTAAACATATATTCTAAATTTAATTTTCAGTATAAAGAAAAATGTCTACTGAAGCACAGAATACGGATGCCGCTGTGGAGCAAATGACACAGGAAGTCAAGGACGTCAAGCTTGAGAACGGGAACGCGCCGGGAGCATCCAATGGAACGTCCAGTAAGAGCGAGGATAGCGCCTTATCTTTCAAGGTATTTAAGCATTAATAAATTGGCTTCGAATTTAAAAAGTGTGACCTCAATTTACTTGTTCTATTTATAAGTTATATTGAAAACAGGTATCAATTACATAGTGTTTTCTTCGATTTTCGTGAATTGTAGATCCCATTTAAACTACTTTTACGGTTTAATTTGTTTGTTTTACTGTCATTATATGTATTATTATTACTTTCGAAGTTTCGAATAATTAATATAGTACCTATACAGTTTTCGTCGTCACGAAAGACTAAAGTATGATTCATTGACATTTGAATATTTTGCGAACTACCGTCTATTTCTATATATTTATCGTAATACAATACAATAATATAATAATAGTAAAAAAAACCAGCTAAGCCGTAAAAGAAGTTTTAATTATAGGAACTTATTTTTTTATTTCTATATGTGGGTCATGATCCTCGTAGTGTTAAGCGTCTACCGGGGCACACACCATCAAAACGAGGCCGTCTCGTCACAACGTCTATGCTGGCTTCTTTTTTTTTTTATTGCTTAGATGGGTGGACGAGCTCACAGCCCACCTGGTCTTAAGTGGTTACTGGAGCTCATGGACATCTACAACGTAAATGCGCCACCCACCTTTGAGGTATAAGTTCTAAGATCTCAGTATAGTTACAACGGCTGCCCCACCCTTCAAACCGAAACGCATTACTGCTTCACGGCAGAAATAGGCAGGGCGGTGGTACCTACCCGCGTGGACTCACAAGAGGTCCTACCACCAGTAAAGAATGTATTTAAATTAAAACGTATCTAGGTGAATTTAGCTGCATGTACTGAAAGATTTTATCACTTCACTTGAAATATTTATATTCTCGTTTACTTCAGGAAGCCTTCAAGGCGTTTTCCAAATTTGGAGATCCCAAGTCCGATGGAAAAGCCATCACGCTCTCGCAAAGCGACAAATGGATGAAACAAGCCAAAGTTATTGATGGAAAGAAAATAACAACAACGGACACGGCTATTCACTTCAAAAAACTCAAATCGGTAAAACTCGGCATCGACGACTACCAGAAGTTTCTAGATGATCTCGCGAAGAACAAAAAAGTGGAACTTGACGAAATTAAGAAGAAGTTGACAACTTGCGGCCAACCGGGAATTACATCACACGTAAGAATTTAGATTTGAAATAAAATAAAATATTACGTAACGAATACCGACGGCATTCATTAAAGAAATACGATAGTTGAAAATCAAGTTTCGATTCTAATGCGTATCTTGTTTTATGAAAAAATAATACGATAATACTTTTATGTTGAATAAAAACTTGTGGCTATTATTCGGCGATATGTGTTTTAAAACAATCGGAATGATTTCAGAAAGCGAATAGTATTACTAAAGAAAAAAGATTTGTGGTGTCGTGGGACACCGGATAGGAACAAAGTTCCTTATTATAAAAATATTAATTTTAAGCTCTATTCGAGGTATAAAGAAAATAAAACCGGAGGTTTCGCAACAACCCACGGTCATTCGGTAACGTGCCAACTTATTGTGGTACACTTCATTCACGGTTGTTTGCTTAAGAGTTAGTGTATTGCGCAAACGAACGCTCTGAGATCGTGGTCAATGAAGGATAAAAAAATGTTATTTTTTGTACGTTATTACAAAGTTAAATCGTACACTATGTGCATTACTAATAAAAATCTTACGTTACGGACGTTTTTTCCGGTTAGGGGTACCCTCCGCATCGTCCCATAAGGAACTTCGTTCCAAAAAGCTCTCTGATTGACATTTCACGAAATATTACCTTTAAGCTAACAAGGTCTTTAAATATTACAGGTTACAAAATCACCGGCAGCCGCAGCGGCCGTAGATCGATTGACAGACACGAGCAAATATACTGGCTCGCACAGGCAGCGCTTCGATGAAACTGGAAAAGGGAAGGGAATCGCCGGCAGGAAAGACTTAGTCGACGGGTCCGGCTACGTCACTGGATACCAACATAAAGATACTTACAATAAATCTCACTAAATCCAAATAAAAAATTTTGCGCAACTATATTGGTGTTACATTGAACGTAGTTTAGCATAAAAGACATATAAAGCCACGATTCATTAATAGAATTCAATAATGAGATTACATCTCGATCAACCAATCATGAACGGCTTATGCACACTTCAGTGAACGCCTAACAACATTATGGTTTTATTTAAAATGAGTTATAGGAGCTTCATCAGCCCGTTATAAAAATACTATAATGAATAGTACGAACGTCATCAACTTTTAAAAGTGCTTACGATGAAAAAGTTTCCATTTTGAATAGTGTAAATTCTTTTTGCTAAACTGCGTTCAATTAAAATGATATCACGGCAATATTAAAAATAATAATTCGTCTTCGTTATTATTATGCGTACGTAACTTTTGAACAAGTACCTCCTATACACTATAATATAAAGTACATTACGTGTTATCTATTAGATTTTAACTTGCATTTTAATGTCCCGTTATTTGGACAAGAAACATTTTATTATTGGGCATATCCCGCTTTTCTATAATATATAATAATATTCATGTATAATACATACAAATAAATTTGTCTAGTCTTTTATTAAAGCTCTTACTCAGTCGCCTTATATACCTACACTGCTTGTAGCTGATCTAAATAATCATACATTATGTTCTAGATCTAAAATTAAGCCAGTACAAAATGAAAACAGCTATTGTGATGATTATAAATTGAAAGATAATGCTTACTTTTTTTCATATATCTAATTTTAAGGTTGTTGAATTTTGTTACTTTTATTTTTGATATTGTGTAACATTATTTGAATTAAATGTATTCGAGAATTCAGACGTTCCTACAACCGTCAAATTTCATATTACAAGAACGGTCACTGTACGAAATGGGAATATATAATTTTAATGATAACTCTAAAAATAATAATAATAACTCTAAATTATTTTGTTGTAATAAAGACATTTCAATTTAAATTAGCTTGTTTTCAATTACACCAACATAATTATAATTCTAAGAGCTTCTAAAAACGATGGCGAACTACAGCGTCTTAATTTTTTTATTATTTTAGATTCGTGACATAACGCAAATATTACTTTTCGGATATTCTTTATTATATTATATTAATATTTATTTATATTATATTCAAGCGATTGTCAATTATCATTTTATTGTGCTTTGATTGCTTCGTAATATCTTTACCGTTTCCTAGTAATGTTTCTTTTATATTAAGACTTTTTTTGTCCACAACACACACGTTTTATCTTTGCTTAATCAGAATGCAAGCATTTCCCTTTTTTTTTTATCATTCCCTTCGAGACTAGGACATTCGATTGCGGAATAAATTTTCAGTGACTATAAGACATTGAATTTAAAGCCAACAGACATCTAAAGCCTTCAATTCCTTCAATGAAAGATTAAGGAAACCTACCTATCCGATTAGATTGCTGTTGTCAATGTGCCTAATCATTATAATAAAATATATCTATACAATTTTATAGCTTGAAATGTTAAATATGCATTGAACGTAAGTTTCAATGTATGTAAATTATTACATAAGTATATGTTCGTATTATGTATAGGAGTGATGGAAAATTCAGACATTTGTCAATAAAGTAAAAAAGAAACCTTACACAACGAAAAATAGTAAATAAAAATAATGTATCAATACTAATGAAATCAGGACACGCTTCGCTTTCACTAATCGCATGAAAAATATAAATTACATAAAACTTTTTATTGCTTAGGTGGGTGGACGAGCTCACAGTCCACCTGGTGTTAAGCGGTTACTGGAGCCCATAGACATCTACAACGTAAACGCGCCACCCACCTTGAGATATAAGTTCTAAGGTCTCAAGTATAGTTACAACGGCTGCCCCACCCTTCAAACCGAAACGCATTACTACTTCACGGCAGAAATAGGCAGGGTGGTGGTTACCCGCGCGGACTCACAAGAGGTCCTACCACCAGTAAAACTACTCGCGTACCATCTATTGTATGTTGAACGTACTATATTAGGCTTCTTTCTAGTGTCATGGCGAACAGGGTCATTGTCCACTTAGTGTTTAGTGATTATCGGAGCTTATAGAACACGATGCCGCGAATTCCGCCGCCTATCCTGAGACTATTCAGTCTCAATTGTATTAAACATATCGAGAGGTGAAAGGCTATTAGGCGAAATTTCGCTTAATACGCGACATTTATCTAGAAGATTGCACAAATTGGGAATGAGTTGCTCGCTCCGGGCATTTCAATATTGTAATAATTGTTACGTTATAATACTCATTGCAAAAATGAACATTTAAAAAAAAATCTAATGTTTAAAAAAAAGAGACATGCCCGCTGAGTTTCTTGCCAATTCTTCTCACGACGGAGGCCAGTTTTTGTGAATTGGCGGTAGTTCTTATGACGTTTAACAAGTATGTACTTTCATTTATGTTGAATAATTTTTTTTTGATTTGATTTGATTTGCTATTAAAGGTCCGTTTTGATATCAGCATCAACAGTTTGATGTTTTTAATTAAGTTTACTCCATTCAAATAGTTGAAGTTTTTTTTTTTTATGATTATATTTTTTCCAAATTTTAAACTTTAAATGGCTTTCCTGTACAGTTGTAAAAATGTCGCCTAAACCGAATAGGCTTTCACGACTCGATGTGTTCGTCAAGCCGGAACGCATGACGATGGTGAGGTGAGGATTCACCATCCGCCATACCACTAAAAACGATCAGTTTGAAATCGCAGTACGCCGCGCGCCGGTGTAATCATCAGAGAACGCTGTTGTCTATTTCCGATGAATGTTTTAGTTACCTACCTTTTTACTTATAAGGAACGGTTGTGCTAATCGACGCTGATACCAGCCTATGTGCTAGTCTGATGTATCATTACGTATATTATTTTGCCTACGGTTATTATTATAATAAATTTATAATACTAGTGGTCCCGCAGTAGTCGAAATTCGACTATAATGAATTCAAATTATAAGTTTAAACATTATTATGGTTCTATTGTCAAACACTATTAAACTTCTTTTAATATAATCACAACTAAACTATAGATAAATAATATTAAAGACAAACAATATTAATATATTCTCAATTTGATCACAGACTTTAAACAATAACAAAAGTTTGACAATTGACAATAAACAAAGAGTATATTTTTAAGTATGGGTTGGGTCAAATTCATGGTAGTGTTGGGGCCCGCGATCTGCTCTCAACACCTGCAGATCGTTAAGTCTCACATACCCCGCGCGCCCCCTAGGCGCGGGGACCTCGTAGGAGGTTCGGCCCTCGGCTCGAAAAAAAAAAATTCTTGGTAATGTTTTTTTTATTGATTTATTTTTTATGCATAATTAAAAAAAATGTTTTTTAATTTGGTATGTAAAATAAAAGACGATTAATTCATGGTTACAATTTATTTGACTTAAAACTAAAATACATGTAAGCACTAATATTTTAGAAAATAATGAGTAACATATTAGGGTACGGAACATTATCTTAAAACTTAGACATGAAAATTTCCAGTACCACAAGTCTTTAATTTCGCAGAAAACACGAATAACCGATAAATCACAATTAAATATTGCAAACATTAGATTACATTATTATCTATCATCATTATAATATATATGTGAATTATGTGTATTCACAAAAATGTGAATTTTATTATTCGAAAATAGTCACGTGTGTATGTATTCTGAAATTTAGTAAGTTACGAAGGAAACGGATACTTTAACGACACAAAGGTTGTATGTGGCAAGCATAGTTACGGTTTTTTTTATTTTTTGTTTTACCGGCTGCTTTTCGTAGGCGAAACCGTTGGCCTTATAGTGTAGCAAAGCAAAGCACGCTACATATTAAGATTCGAACTATCAGCTAATTGTTAACTTTTATGATTACACAAATGACAATACAACATATCAAATTCTTTTTAAATACAACTGCTACAGCCGAATTTACAAATTAGATATTGCATCGTTTAGACAGATTATTATCTGAACACGCATATATTAACAAAAAAATGTTATTATTTTTATTATTAGGGAATTTTGAGATTCCAAAAAGAAAATGATAATAATTCGGAGTCATTGGTAAATAATGAAAATAGTCAAATTTTAAAAACATTAAAAATTAAAGAGAAGTTTAATACATGATTATTGTTCTTTGTTCTATTTTATCATTTAGCTACTTTGTTTAATGAAATCATCCTTAAAAGTGTCCCAACGTTCTATGTACCAATATTTGAGTCGTCTATTATCAAAGGTGGCAATCTGTGCATTTGGACAAAAAAATCTTATTGATATGTCAATACAGATTGATTTGAATATAATCGTCTCCTTCAAAGAATACGGTTCAAAACCTGCGTTAAATAAAGGTTAATACTTAACCTGTTATTTATCTAAGATGTCGATCAGAAGAGTTTTGTGACTGCCAATGGAATACAAAGTCAATAATTCGTTTTTCTGATTTACCAATAATTGTCCAAAAGTCACATTGCCGGCTTTGATAATAGTCGACTCATTTATAGATTATTCAGAAAATTGTTTCCGTTCGGAATGTTAAAGTTTACGATTTCATTCCTAGCAAGTTACCTTTGTTTAATCTAGATTTATTTAAGTATTTTCATATTTGCTATGGATAAGATTTAATTTTCATTAAATATCAAGGCGTTTCACAGTCTATCGCCGTTCAAGCTAACGTATTCTTTCGATATCATCCAGTCCCCAGTCATAACTATTGTCAGGGGAGTTGAAGTGTCACGTATATTTTTTATTGTTTTTTTTATAGATCTTATTGAAATAGAAAATATTATTTTACCATTAATATTATTACACAGATAATGTGTAAGATATAGGCACTCAAGTGTTTTGTTCTTGAATTGTTGTTTTATCAACTTTATCTACAATTTAACTCTTTTATTTTCAATTCACGAAATACTCAATGACGATATAAAACATGAAAAATCTAGCATAATGAATGAAGTATCTTTAGTGTCCTAAAACTATTGCAATTTAAATAGCACAACAAAAAAAAGTACGACAG